AAAGAGAAAGATAAAAAAAAAGAAGATAAAAATATCAACTCGCCTTCACCTCCCTCCCGCGTCCTCGTGCTCCACAAAGTGTATGTTCACGATGCCCTCTCTCTCTCTCTCTCTCTCTCTCTCTCTCTCACACACACACACACACACACGATGTTTTAGCGAAAGATTCATTCCGATTTTGGTCATCCTACCGATGAAAGCAGCGTGGGTGGAAAGCAGTGTATGAGCAAGATCGAAATAGCCTCTCTCTATCTCTCTACGTGCATGGCTGGAAACCTCCCTCTCTCTCTCTCTCTCTCTCACACACACACACACACACACACACACACACACACACACACGGGCGCACAAAAAAGACAAAAAAAAACTGCCAGCGTGTATTTCAATGTTTTAGTGGAAGATTCATTCCGACTTTGCTCATCGTATCGATGGAAGTACCCTCTCTCTCTCTCTCTCTCACACACACACACACACACACACACACACACACACACACACACACACGCACGCACGCATGCACGCGTGCAGTAGTGTATATTTCGACGTTGTATCGGGGTTGGAGACTTACCTGTTGGGCGGTGCAGAACTCAACCAATCGATGGAAAACTCTCTCTCTCTCTCTCTCTCTCTCTCTCTCTCTCGGGAGACGATGGCGGAGCAGCGTATATTTCGATGTTGTAGCTCTCTGTCTAAATCTCACTGCGCGCCCCTGCACCGCAGCCCCGCGCCACCCCCCGCAATGCAGAACATCACCCCATCCCCGCGGTCGATGCAGATGGACCAACGGTCCGATAGGGCGGCATCCCGAATCTTCGACGATCGACTTGCCGACGCCCCGCCCGGCTCGAAAAGGAAAAAAAAGCAGCGCATCTGCCCCGAACTCCCCGTAAAATTCAGATTCCCGAAGCCCCCCGCGCCCCCGAACGAAACAAAAAACCCGTGCATCGTCCCCTTGCCCCAGGTATAATTCAGTCCGCCATATCAGGAAGGCCTGCCGTCTCGCCCGCTGCTCCTCGCATGGTCCCTGGGTCCGTTTTGGCCTTTCCCAACAGTGGCGACGGGTGCTCGCGTGGGACCGTCACGCGAGACCCCCTATTTCCTTTATAATATTAGAGAAATAAAAAATGGATGGGGGGTGGGGGAAGTAGATGGGAGGCGCAGCCACTGGCAAAATGCTTGGTCTGTGCATTAGCCGCTCCCCCCCACCGGTGGCCCCACCTACTCCCTGCCCACCACCGATTAGGGTGGGGGGCAACATGCATCCCCTTAATTGTGAGAGGTAGCTATGCTTGCAGGGGTCCCCTGTATAGGCTTAGGAGTGGTAGGTAGGACAAAACAAACAAAAAAGAAGAGGATAAATCCAAAATGAGAAGCCCCACCAACAGGCCTAGCGCAGTTGGTCCACCCATGAACTGTTGAAATACAGACCCAAGTTCAAATCCAGGTGCAGTCTGATTAACAAAAATGACATACTTCCGAACTATCCACGGCCGGTCAGTTACAAGGGCCAGTCAGTTCAATGGTGATATCTCTTTAGGGCCACATTTCTTAGTAGAGGCTCGCTCTAGCAGAATGGTCTGGCCAGAGTGGTTGGGCACTTGAAGAGACTCCCCAGAGTCGTAACTGTATGATATCAGGCGCCTTCCTGATTGTTGTCATCCATCATGCACGAGGTTATTCATTACTAAAGTTGGAGTGGAAAAAGAAAGGCAGTGAACTTATGTGTTCTGTGCTTCGCTCCTTAACCCAACCTCTTGGAAGTGCCTATTGGAAACTGATACAAATTGATATAAAGTTTAAACGTGCTGGTGTTATTCAACTGTAGGAATACTACTGGGAAGTTGGTGGGCTTATCATGAGCTAATATCATGGGCCATGCGCCACCACTTGCCAAATATGGAAGATGCCAAAATGAGAGTAAATCTTCCGCTAGAACATGGGAAGATACACTGGGATATTTTTTTGTCTTTTGTGGATGTGCTGAGTAGTGGAGCTCCCATGTCCCAATGATTCTCAAGGTTTTCAGAGGGCACATCTGGTGGCCAATTTTCGGGTCGGGGTTAGAGATTGGCCTGTTGCCAGGTTGTGGTTGCTGAGGTGACAGGGAATTTGACAGGGTCCACCGAAATGCATACAGCGTTTATAAATATATATATACATATATTTACCGGGCAGTTCTATTTGACGATATATATATATATATTTTGTTTAATTTGAAACACAAGCTAGATGCCGGACCCGTTTTCCGGCTATAAATGGAATGAGCCTTGTCAAAAAGAAAAAGAAGAAAAAAGGGAGAAAAATGAACAATACCAATCTGATAGGGTTACTGGTCGAAGGACCCACCTACCAAGATTCTGTGTTCCTGGCCCACCTACCGAGATTCTGTGTTCCTGACCCCCCCCCCCCCCCCCCCCCCCCTACTTGACAATACATATGCCAGAACAAGAAATCCAAGGGCAAGGTTTCTGCTAGCAGGCACTAAGTGATCCTGGCTGTAGATCACGAAAGTCCACGACCAAGATCTCTTAATCTGTGCAAGTGGGAGCTTGCTGCAGGCCATTCGCTTTTGTGATCTGCGGCCAATATGTCTTAGTGCCTGTGAGTGGAAACGTTGCCCCTGGATTTCTCCTTTAGGCAAGAGAGCTTCTTCCCATGGATGTATCTGACTTTCCGCTCACAGGCTTCTTCCCTTGGATGCGACGGCCTTGCTGTTGCTGTAGGTGAGGGGAAGGCCGCGTGGATGTGCAGAGCAGAATGACAGGGCCTTAAGCTGTGTACTATTTTTCCTCTTCTTTTTTCTCTTCTTTTGTGCACTGTGGAAGAACTCGTGTGTATCCCCCCCCCACCACCACTTAAAAAAAAAAAAAAAAAAAAAAAATCCATTATTGTGTAATTGACCTAATGGTTACGAGGTTTTTGACAGGTGCGTGACAGGTGTCTGGCCAGCAAGTGATCCATTATTGACACTGTGACAATTTTGTCTGGCCAGCAAGTGATCCATTATTGACACTGTGACAATTTTGACAAGTATGATTAGGTCCTCTGGGGACATCTGATAAAATTGGAATGATACAGAGATGGTAAGCGCAAGGATGACACAAAAATATCGAGAAATGGTCCAAATTTGAAAGGAAAAAAAAAAGTAGTGTTTTGTAATTTGTATATGCAACATGCATCTACGGGCCACCGAACATTGAGTGAGAGAATAAGGAACGCATCTCGGCAAGTTTTATGGAAAGATACGCTCAACCATTCTGACATTTGGGCCAACCAATCTGACAAAAGATAGGCTCAACCATTCTGACATCTGGGCCAATCAATCTGACATTTGGCACACCAGTGGCCACCACCACTCACCAATTGAGAGAATGATGAATGCATCTAAGGCGTTTTGATATCGAGTGAATGAGCCCCTAAGGGTCTTGTTCACAACCACTAGAGCCTTCAAGAAGAACCGTCACAGTCTCGTTCCACATTGGCCCTAACCACCTGCCGGCATTGTTTCACATCTTCACACATCGGGGCACCCTGGCAATGTGAGAGAAAATTTCCAGCCTGCAATGTGTCAAAGCACCGCTGCAGCAGGCAATGAATTGCCAATCCTTTGTCTTTTTCCACCTGAATGAATCAAACCGGTCCTCCCCAGGCCAGTACATCGCAAGTGTGGGGTTACCCTCCCGGAAGTTTTAGATGAGGGTGCGCGTACTGGTGGTTTAAACCTCCAGTTCGCACCCACAGCATATAAATTTGTTCGTTGTCTACTCCGGAAGTTTTGCGGCTCAGGCCTACTGGACCACAATGGCTGGCGGTGCCAGCCAAAAAAAAAAAGGAAGTGCGCTGCTGGTGGCTTGGAATAGCTTGCTGTGCAGGGCAGCACTGCCGGGTCAGGATGCATGAGTGATTTAAACCACCATTAAATCACAGTACTTATTATAGCTATCTTATCCGCGCCTGCTGGTTAAACCACCAGTACCTGTCTCAGCTATCGATGCTGAGCCTTCTGCAGCCTCCCGTCGGTAGCGGTACTTTCTTAGTTTGTAAAAACAGGAAAACCGAAAGAAAGGGAAAACAAATAAAAAAAGATGAGCGAGAAATGAAAAGAAAAAAATTCCCGTTTTACAGCTCGGAAAGAGGAGAGAGAGAGAGAGAGAGAGAGAGAGAGAGAGAGAGACAGCGGGAAGATACATTTCCGTCTTTCAACTCAGAAAGGGGAGGGAGGGAGAGGGAGGGAGAGAGAGAGAGAGAGAGAGAGAGAGAGAGAGAGAGAGAGAGAGAGAGAGAACGGCGCGCTAGGCCTCGTGCAGTGAGAGAGAGAGAGAGCCGGCGAACGGCGCGCAAGGCCTCGTGCAGTTCATGGGGGAACTCTCTCTCTCTCTCTCTCTCTCTCTCTCTCTCTCTCTCTCATGACTTCAGCGGGAGAATAAATCTTCTGCGACTAATGCGGAAGATTCATTCTTCCCCTGTAGTGGTTCAGCAGCGCGCCCTGTTTATATTGCAAAACGGTCATCTTCTCCCTGGTTTGTTCCCAGTCCCCTATCGATCTGTACATCTGGGCCTACGACCTCCTCGGTGCAAGCACGGATTCAAACCGGCGACCTCGGCGGCTCGCTTGGCGCGGCCTCAGGAGCCGAGTCTCTTAACCCAGTACCTGATCTGGTTGTGAACTCTTAACTTTTAATTTTGGATGAACTCTGGGAAGTGGTTGCCCTTGATATGTGAGTCTAATATTAGCATCATTATTACATTGCAGAACTTGTAAGTTATCCTTTCGATCTTATTTTCTGAGCTTTTCTCTTTTCCTTCCTATTGCATTTCAGGGTTTGTTCATCTTTCCACTGCATTTTTTCTCTCCTGTGCAATTCCTCCCCCAATCGCTTGGCTCAAACTTCTGGCTCATTGCTCTACTCTATGACTTTGGTGGTTTTTCAGTAGTTTAAATTGTTCAGGAAGTTTTGTCTAAATTTCTAAAGATGAAAGCTCTCTTCTCTGTGTTGCAGATCCACGATTGATCGATTTTGACACTTTGCTGGAGAATGTGAATACTCTCAAAGCTGGGCAAGCTGTAGAGATTCCAATCTATGACTTTCGTCAAAGTCGTCGTGTTGGCTATAGGTAAATTTTGACTCCACCTTCTGTTCGCAGTCTATTTGAAATTTTGAAGTATTTTACTATTTTTGTGCTTTCTTGTTTTCTGGCTGTTACAGATCTATGCAGCGGTTAAAGATGTAGAGATGTCTGTATGTACTTTAGTATGGTTCTGCATGGTATGGTACTACATACTACATAGTACCTACCCGGCAGACCAATTTTATCCGGAATTTTCAATCCGGCAGACCAAATTTATCCGGAATTTTGAATCCGGATGAAATTTCCGGATTAATTCCGGATATGGAAAATCCGGTCCTGCGCAAAATATGTTTTTTCACCGAAAAAAAAAATTCAAAAAAATCTGGAAAAAAATTATGTTGTTCATATCAATGATATGAACAACTTTTGGCTTGAGGCCATCTTTGATTACTCAACAGATATGAAGATAAAAAATAAAACAGAACAAGAAAATAATATTTAGATAAAAAATTATAGAATGAAATTCAATGAATTAAGCATCCCCCCTCTAGACCCCTTTATTCCCTATCTTATCCCCTTTGAACCCTTCCAGGCCATATCAAGCTTTTCATGAAATAGGAACATAGTTTTATTGTATTTTGCATGCGCAATATCACTTTTTTTTTTTTTTTTTAAGGCCTTTTTTTTATTCATCCGGATTTCCGGATGATCCTACCCCCCGATCATCTGGCCAGATAATCCGACCAGATTATCCGGCCAGACAACCCACCTAGTATATATATATATATATTGCTACGGCGTTCTTTGGCCCTTGCGCAGCCGGGCCGCCTGGGCTAACAAGGTGACCCGTGCTGCCCGGCTGGCAGCCTCGCAAGAAACGTAATAGAACCACCATTTCGTCAAAACGGAGATTTTGTATTCTTCGAACGAAATCTAGCGTCATTGGAAAGCAAAAAAAAAAAGACCAAAATTCTGTTTGGGAGGGGCCAGCATCCTGCCGGACTGCATTCAGTCCAGATCATACATGCGGCGCATCACGGGCGCTGCACAGCACATGGGCACACGTGCGCGCGCACGTGATGCTGCGCATTTACAAAAAAAATAAAAAATAAAAAATCAGATAGGGTAGGCCGTGGTACCCATAAGTGTCCCTCCCTTTTAAAAATTGTAAGTGCACAGAAGAGGATATTTTGGGGGCAGATTGTACTCATTGGATTTAACATCTTTTCCAAAGGGTCCCCTGGAAAGAATGAGCAGGGATCCCATTCATTTGGAAGAACATGAATGGAGCTGCTGGAGTAACACGAGCGGGCCAGTAATATATCCTGGATTTGGATTCAGGTCTGTGTTTCAAGAGTTATGGGTCACAAACTTACACTACAGTAGCTGTCTCTCGCTTTTTTGTTTTTCCTCTTCTTACGTGCGGTGGCCCTAAGGGCCTCATTCCACTCATCAGCACTTGCAGAAAAGAAAAGCGTATGGCTTGTATGGTTCCAGTGTCATTCGAGTTTTGCACATACAGTAGCTGTCTCGTTTTTTCGTTTTTCCTTTTCTTACGTGCAGTGGCCCTAAGGGCCTCGCTCCAGTCATCAGCACTTGCAGAAAAGAAAAATGTATGGCTTGTATGGTTCCAGTTTCGAGGAGAAGATTCATTCTAGTTGTGCACATTTGGTGAGTAGTGGAGTGAAGCCCTGAAGATCACATGCCGAGTTAGTAAGTCAGTAACCCGTTACTGCTGAAACAAGGACCTGAATTCTAAGCTACACCATATATAGCTGGCCTGCTCCCTCCTTACTACAAGTCCAGTGACGACCCGTCCAGTGACCACCCTTCTCCTACCGACGGGACCCTTGCCAATTTTTGGCAGGGACCTTTTGAAGTAGCGACTGAGGTTGTCTGAATTATGTGAAATGTGCGAGCGCATTTGCGATTAGTGCACCGCGCAGCGTACTTCACCAACGCGACTCTAGTATGGTCCAGATACATGATACGTCCGACTTTTTAGAGGGTCTGGCGTATCCTCGGAAGAGAAATTTTGGCAGTTTTTTTTCTTTTTCATCGGAGGCCAACTTCATTCGATGAAAAAAAAAAAATCTCCGTTTCGATGAAATGGCAGTTGTAGACGTCCATATGTTTGATCCAAGGTCCTGCGTCGAGATCCCAACGTTAAAACGGTGATGGGGGGAAGAATGCGGTCGATTCACGTCATGGGCCTGGGGCTGTGGTGAGAGTGTGTGGTCTGGCTGTTTGTAATTATCCCTACACTTATTAAAATCGCTAATGTTATAATTTTGGCATCCGGGCGGTCCGCGGACCTACTGGCCCGACGGCCCGGATTGCCCCGTGATCTTAAGATTTTAAGATCGCACGATGATCCAGGCCGTTCGCGGTCCTACCGGCCCAACGACCCGGATTGCCCCGCGATCTTAAAAAACTTGAAGATCGCGGGGCGATCGGCGGCCGTCGGCCCGGTACCAGTTGGCCAACGGCCCAGATTAGAAGTTCGCAGCGCAACCGAAGTTAGGGCTGCCAGGCTTGGGGAGAAACTGGTTCCAGGGTGGGCCGGTCTCCTATAGGACGCAGCGGTTCGGCCCCCGCGCATGTCTTTGGTGGCGCTCGGAGCCGGTGTATAGCGAACGAGACAACACTCACTCACACGGCCGCTCGCCGCCTGCTTGAACAAGCACATGCACAAACACACGCACATGCACGCACGCACGCACACGCACGAACACGCACGAACACACGCACATGCACTCACTCGTGCAAATGCATCATGGGCAGACTGTTGGGGTTCAACTTCCTGATGAGTTGGTGAAAGTCCAAGGAAACAGTCTGGCAGAGTCGTGCTTTTTCTGGGGGGCTCACACAAACGAATGAACTGTGGGTGGGTGGGTGTGTGCGCGCAAGAGAGAGAGAGAGAGAGAGAGAGAGAGAGAGAGAGAGCACCCCACCATGACAACACTGACTGGTGAAAATGAGTGTGAAGACGTCGATGAAGATGAAAGATGAGGAGTTTTTTCGAGGACAAGGTAAGATGATAATGGCATTGGGAAAGGGGGCTGAAACAGGCTATGGTGGTTTTGTTTTTCTTTCCTACTGACTCTGATCGCGAAAGGGAGACGAAGCAAAATGAAGGGGTGGACGAGGAAGAGGAGGAGGAGGGCGAGGACGAGGAAGAGGAAGGGGAACACGAGGAGGAGGAGCGAAAGGAAGGCGAAAGGAGGGTAGGGAGGCAGAAAGAGATGAAGCTGGAGGAGAAGGGGTAGGAGGAGGACAAAGGGGAAGGACAAGGAAGAGGAGGGGGAGGGCAAGGACAGGGAAGAGGAAGAGGAATACGAGGAGGAGCGAAAGGAAGGCGAAAGCCTGAAAGGAGGGAGGGTAGGGAGGCAGAAAGAGATGGAGCTGGAGGAGAAGGGGGAGGAGGAAGACGAAGGGGAAGGAAGAGAAAAGGAGGGGAAAATACAGAGGAGGGAAAGGAGGGAGAATAGGAATAGTTAGGGGGAAAGTCGAAGGGGTGCGGGGGGGATTCTGAAGGTGCGAAATGCCATCCCCCCCGTGTGTGTGTGTGTGTGTGTGTGTGTGAGAGAGAGAGAGGGAGAGAGAGAGAGAGAGAGAGAGAGAGAGAGAGAGAGAGAGAGAGAGAGAGGGGGGGGGGGGGGGGGGGGGGGAGGGGGAACGGGGAAGGAGGGGAAGCTAGGGGAAGTCGCCGGAAGGGGGTTGGGGTTTGATGCGAAATCGTGCACGTGGTTAGGATGTGTGGTGCGAAATTGTGCTTTTTTTTTCTTTTCGTTCTATCATATGTGTGTGTGTGTTGCATTTTATCGCGTGTGTGTGTGTGTGTGTG